CTACAAACAAAGTAAACGTGTTGGGACATGATCGCCTGAGCTTCTCACACCGCCAAACCCACCCTACCAACCCCTTCCACTGCCCCCCCATCCCACCAATTTTCTATTTGTATTATATTTTAGATTAACTCTTATAAATATTATTTTAAAGTAAGAAATAATTATTGGATATGGTTTTTAGAATCAACAATAGGACACCAGATTTCATGTTGAAGAGAAATTTCACGCAAAATTAAACTAAAAATATGAGTTTTGCAAAAAAATTGACGTGATGAATTTTTTTACTATTTTTTTCCGGTTTTAGTGAGTAAAAATCTATAAGAAACAGTAAAAATATCCTATGCAGTTTTTTTTTGGTTGCAGACCTGTGTTATCGACAACACAGTAGGTGTGTAGAATACGTTCAATATGTGGTGAAAATAAGAAAGAAAGAAATAAGAAAGGAAATCCGAGAGACAGACTATATTCTGTCTCTGTATCTCTTCCTGCATTTAACGCGTAGGCTGTAACTGAGCGAAGAGTGACGATCAGCATTAGAGTGTGCAGAGGATATTTTATTATAGCCCCATATCTGCGTTAGGATTGGAAAACAGAACTATCAGTAGATCATATTAACTTCCGAATCAATATGTTCCTCTGCACTAAACCAATCGGCTGTAACTGAAAAGGAATATAGTTCAGGAGATCTACTCTACGGTTCGTGAGATAAATTTTATTTCAATTCCATCTCTCCAATATTACCACCCACATAATTATTTAAGTCTTTTGTTTTTAAGCCCTGATCGTTTAAATTCTGAAGCAACCACGAACAGTTTAAGGTTTAATGAAACCAGACCCTTCACTTGTCAAATTAATGCATAATGAGATATAGAACTGTGTAACATTTCAGGTTTTGCCCAGTACAGACTGAAAATTTTGCATTCGGTTCTTGCCATTCGCAGTAAACAAACGGGAAATGAACATCTCACGAGGACTCAGTGACGAAAGAGACGTTACAATGAATTCCGCCTCTGACGTCCCGGGATTCTACAAGGGACGTTGTGTCTTCGTCACGGGAGGTACCGGGTTCATGGGAAAGGTTCTGCTGGAGAAGCTGCTGCGATCCTGTCCGGACATCGCTACCATTTACCTGCTGATGAGACCCAAGCGGGGCAACGACGTCCGGATCCGACAAGAAGAACTCATCCGGAGCCAGGTAAGACTTGGTCATGTGACATATACGAGTACTGTCCCAAATCCTGCTGGTACTCCATGTACTGGCCACAGGACTGAAGAATGATGTCTGAACTACGTAGGTAAGTCAATAAGTAATTTACAAATGGATATTGGACTTAAACAAATAAGAGTACTGATTTGAAAAATGCTTTTATTTCTCAACACAATCTCCCTGTACAATGAGGCACTTGTCCCATCGTTTCACAAGCCCCTGAAAACCAGCAGCATAAAATTCTTTGGGCTGCTGTCGGAACCAGGCGTGTTCACACGGCATGGCCTACCTCATAATGCATGACAGGTTAGGTTTTCACAAAGTCTGTGCACGATGGGTGCCGTGCATGCTGACCCCACAATACAAAATGCAAAGAATGGGTCTGGCATTACAGCATCTCAATCCCTACCATGATGAAGGACACGATATGCTAGCCCGAATTGTCACAGGTGATGAGCCTTGCTCCAAGTGACTTCCATTTGTTCGGCCCTCTTAAACATCTTCTTTCAGCTGAACATTTTCCCGACGATGAAGCTGTAGAAAGGGAAATCAACGCCTGTTTCCGACAGCAGCCCAAAGAATTTTATGCTGCTGATTTTCAGGGTTTTGTGAAATGATGGGACAAGTGCCTCATTGTAGAGGGAGATTATGTTGAGAAATGAAAGCATTCTTCAAATCAGTGCTCTTACTTGTTTAAGTTCAATATCCATTTGTAACTTACTTATTGACTTACCCACGTATTATCTAGTGAAAAAGTAAAAGTAAAGCTATCCCTGTAACAGGCTGTGGAGGCCCATAGAGTTGTGAGTTGCTGAGGTTCCCACATTTTCTAGACAATCGGCTCATAGATGGCGGTAAGGTTGTCAGCCTTACGCGCCGGCCGCCCTTTACTCCCAAGAACATTCAAAGAATATTCCTGGTACTCATTTCTGTTAGAGGCTGAATCGACCCCAGGGCCATAGTGTGGCTAGAAGTATTCGGTCAATTGAAGAAATCCAATGACCTCATCGGGATTCGATCCCGCGACCTTCCGGCTTGTAGCATAGTGCCTCAACCAACTAGGCTACCGCGTGCCCCCGAATTATTTTCTTCACTGTCTAAAAGGGTACCTCATTTCAACTGGACTCAGAAAAATAATGATTTACCCTGAACGCGTTCTAGTGTCTAAGACGTGGTTTGCTCTCGAAGCACGTGTCTTGTACACTCGTACGATACGAGTACGGAGACCAAGAGAGCCTGCTACAAAATGTCAGTGTCTTACAGTCTGTATATACTTCCAGATATTCGACAGACTTCGTAACGAACGTCCTGGGTTCGCATCACAGCTGGTTGTAATGAAAGGTGATGTCACGTTAGAGAACCTGGGACTGTCCCGTGAGGACAGGTCCCTGATCAAGAAGAAAGTTTCTGTGATCTTCCACTGCGCAGCTAACGTTCGGTTTGACCAGAAGCTGAAGTATGCCGTTAGATACAACACACTGGGTACGCAGAGAGTTCTGGAGCTCGCGGAGGACATAGACAGTCTGGATGTGAGTACCGGGGTGCAGGTACCCAGAGTGAGGTGAACACATACACCTGGAGTTGGATCTGTGTTTAAGTTACTACTTTAACATAGGTTACAGTATGTGAGATTGGCGACATCTGCTCCTCATTTATTGCTACTAGGGTGATTAAGGACGAGGAGATACCTGCGACATGCAGCATACATAAGGAAAATTAAAAATACATACAAAATTTTAGTCGGAAATTCTTAATTAAGGAGGCTACTTGGGAGATCTAGTTGGCTTAAGTTAGGACATAGTGGCAGTATTCTTTGAACAAGGGAATGAACCATCCGAGTCCATAAAGAAAGGAAATTCTTAGCCAGCTGAGCAGGAGATAATGCCATGGAGTTAGATTAACATAGACGATCTAACCTGTTTCTACTAAAAGCATCAGCAAATAGTCACCGAGTTGTAAAAACATGACTGGAGAAATATATTGAATATCAAAGGGAAGTTGTCCCTTTCATGTCTTCAACCCATTTTCCCTTTCTTTTTTCCCTTTTATGCTTTTATCTTGTTCCCTCCTTTTCCGACAAAAACAGTGAATTAAGTTACAGTTTCATTCCTCACATGACACCGTTTCGAAAAGAGACTTGTCACCTGTCACATACACACACTGTCTCCTAGTATACAGTACACACATGCCTAGAATGAGACACTCCTCTGTATACAGAAGTCTATGGTAGTGGCAATGAGTGGATACGTGGGTGGTGCAGTCTTGTCATGGACGTTTCGCATGCTGGTTTTGTTCGCTGTAGAGGTAACCTACCATTAATACTTGCCTGGGTGACAAGCCAGATGATAATAAAAGTAATACTGATTGAATAAACTGTGAAGTAATGATTTACATTAAACTATTATTAGTGTTAACATGACAAGCAAAGTCGCTTCAGTACCTGAACACTACGCCACGGGGCATGGGATTGAAGCTTCACACAATCAGACTTCGGCACGAAGCGGGAAGCAAGGCTGAGAAGTAGCCTCTGTTGGCCGGAGAGAACTTAGCTGACCTCGTCAGTAAGTATCTCTGTCGTCCAGCTCACAGCTAGTCACTGTACTGACCATGCTATCCCGGCTCACCGAATGATACTTAAAACTAATGTTACAGAATAGCCCAATATGCTTTCTTTGCAACTGATGAAAGGTGTTTCTAAAATGCATGGTAATGAAAGGGAAAACTGACAATTGACTTTGGAGGTTCACCTCAGGGGTGGTACCTCAAACAGGCGGCGTATTCTGCCGCACGAACCAAAGCCAAAGTAGAGTCCTTCGGGCTCACATTTGTAATGATTTTCACCAAAATTCGATTAATGTTGACGGTGCGCGTCGGGGATGAAGCAAAGGTGCCCCATTTTTCACAGACTCAGTGAAATCTATTATATACACCAACTACTGCAGGAGTCTGGACAACATGGAGGCCTTGTAGACTTATATCGAATTTTCAGAACTAGGAGATAAGGTGTCCTGTTTCATTTTCCAATTTACTTTTTATACGCAGGTCCCCAGTAGCATTACATGTTACATGTTATATATACTGTAGAAATATATATATCATGAGTTAGGGCTTATTCCTTTCCTGGCTTTACAAGTCCTTATGAATATTCTTACTCATGGAGCTGAGCCCTTCTTGAGGAGCCGCCAATTCTGCAGCTGCTCAAGAATTTGTCAGCATTTTATGGGACCCGAAGATTCATAACCGTGTTCATAAGAGCCCTCCGCTGGTCCCTATCCTGAGCCAGATCAATCCAATCCATACCATCCCATTCTATTTCTCTAAGATTCATTTTAATATTGTCCAGTCACCTACACCTTGGTCTTCCCAAGACACCTTGGTATATTTCCTTCTGGCTTTCCCACCAATGTCCTATATGCATTCCTCTTCTCTCCCATTCGTTCTACATGCCCTCCCCACCTCATTCTCCTTGACTTGATCATTCTAATTATGTTTTGAGAAGAGTACAAGTTATGAAGCTCATCATTATGCAATGTTCTCCAACCTCCTGTCACTTCATCTCTCCTGAATATCAAACTAAAATAAATATGAAAGTAAGATGCATTGCAACTAGATTATATACGATTAATTTACTCTACTTTAAGTTTATGTTAGTGGAAATAATACAGATACAGGCATATAGGTAATTCTTCAGTTATAAATTTCGCTCGTCCCTTAAGGACCAGTGACTTCCGTGTGCAATTGCTTTTGAATCACTGAGCTAAGCTTGCAGTAGGATATCTGTATGGTCCAAAATTTGTTCCAAACTCACAGACTGAACGTCGAAGTCGGTGGTTGGTATTCATGTTCCCGTTTGTAAGGTCCTTGGTGTAAATCTCGTCCCAGATACCGGCCCTTCTGATGAAGATTCTTTAAGTTGTTCCTTAGCTTCTTCAGAAAAGTAATTGAATAGTGCCTCAAATTAGGCCAACGTCAATTGGTTCCACGTCCTTTCCAATTCATTGTTCACATATCTCCTATCATTCGAAACTACCGTGCCTAATCTGAAATAAATTAAAATAAACAAAACAATGTCTTCTGGGATGTGATTTCGCGTAATTTTTTCGATACGGACCAATGTTGCGGAGGAACATGCTGCATCTATTTTCTGGATAGACGATGGAGGCAGCAGGCTCCTCCGAAACGTCGTAACTATATACTAAACTGCACCGCGTTGCATCTCATTAGAGAGTCGTCTTCACAGTCATCACTTCGAGAATCTCAGACATCCCACTAAACTGTCAGGTTCACATAATCGTCCAAAGAAAATTATGTAAATTTGATTTGTTTGTTTTGATTTGTTACATGAGATGAATAGTAGAAGATGTGTTGTGCTCTCTAAAATTAACTTTTATTTCGAGGACTAGAATCTATTTGGAATCTCTTACTTTTAGGCCTTCGTACATGTTTCCACTGCCTACTGTCACTGTGACGAGGCTGTGCTGGGGGAAGTGACGTACGCATCCCCCACCGACCCGCGCAACATCCTGCAGTTGGTCGAGTGGATGGACGACGAAGCCCTAGACTCAGTAACACCAAAGTGAGTACAAGGATCTCAAGATATCAATGGCCTGGCGATTATGTTACCACCCGATAACCAATTCAATGTTGTGTTGATAATACAGCATTCAAGAAACTCTTCTCAAATCAGACTCCAACCTTTAATTGCTTTCTAGCTTTATAATTCAATCCAGAGTTTAATAACCAATTACCAACACCATATTTATAAAGAAATGTCTACAATATCTGTAGAGTTTCCATTAGTTTGCTCAACCCCTTATATACGTGTGTGTGTGTGTTACAGTAAAAACCCAAAATCCGTTACTGTCGATTGTTAGCAGTCAAAATTTGGAGTCTTTAAGCACGTTAGAGAAAACTAGTACCCCCCTTAAGTGGTCGTGGAGGCCCATAGGGTTGTGAGACGTCGAGGCTTCCACATTTTCTAGACAATCGGCTCACAGATGGCGGTAATGTTGTCAGTCTTACGTGCCGGCAGCCCTTTACGCCCAAGAAGATTCCTGGTATTGATTTCTGTTAAAGGCTGAGTCGATCCCAGGGTCATAGTGCTGCTGGAAAGAATAGGTCCATTGAAAAATCCTCATCGGGAATCGAACCCGCGAACTTCCGGCTGGTAGCATAGTGCCTCAACCAACTACGCCACCGCGTGCTCTTTGAGGAAACTAGTACTCCCTAGCAAAAACGAGAAGTTAGTACAATCATCCGGACTAAGAAGTAGTTTTAACTAATAGAGATACGGCAAGAATGAGTTTTTATTGAAAGAGCAATAAATATCATGTCTTGCAAATTCAATTCGGAGTTTTCCATCAGTTGCAGTAATTTATAACGCGTGCTAGGGAATACTAGTATTGTATATTCTTCATATTATTGTACTATACATGTATATACATTATGGGACGAGCCGGGGTTTGAGTCCCGGCAGCGACAAGCAATTATTTTCTTTCCCATATAGTCCAAACAGTCTCTGGGTCTACCCAGCCTCCTATGCAATGTGTACCAGGGGCTCTTTCCCCGGTTGTAAAGCGGACGGGGTGTGAAGCTGATCGCTCACCGCCATCTAGGGTCGAGGTAAAGAATAATGAAACTATATCTCCACTCCCCCATACGTCTTCATGGTCCTGTGCTTAATTAAGCACAGGGAAAACTTTACCTTGGAGTGGGAGACGGTTTTGTGACGAAAACGTATGTTACGCACGCACAAGAGGACGTAGTTAGCTTCAATGTCCGATAGATGGCATCAGTCGTTAGACGGCCACGGTATTTGCGTAGCTTATGCAAGGACAAATAAAAGGGATGCCATCTAACCCGTAAGAAAAGATGCTAAGAGTTAAAGGAAGTTTATGGTAGGCCCCGAGTTGAATTTTGAACGGGCCTTTTCCACTAGCACAAAAAAATGTGCACAAGTGTCAGTGAGGAAATAGTTCCAGGCACGTTAAGTTTTTAGTATAACTATATGACAGTACAGAAACTTCTTCAGATATGAATTTATTTTGTGGTATTCGAAGATCTATTGCCGGGTTCAGAACATATCGTCCTCTGACCCTATCGAGAGAGAGTTTAATCAGTTTCACATTTGTTTATCCCTGGTTCTCGAAGATCTGTTTTAATATTCTGTAACGTATATTCCAGAAAGCGAATTGGCTGATGCTGGAGTAAGGCAAGGGCAAGGGTCATGTTACAACTGACGGTCGGTCAGTCTGTTTGTCTTGGTGTCGAGCCCCAGGTGGGGCTCATGACCAGATATTTCTTTTCAATGAAAGTTACCGTCCTGTCCATGTCTAGCGCCCTCTCTGACGAGAGGTCGGGTCTGTCATCTGTCAGTCAGTCTGTATTAAGTCTATTGTCTGTATTTACATACATTTACAAATACACACTTAATCCTTACTTCTATGTACAATATATACACAGCCTCTGTCAGTCCAGGCTAGGTACAGCAGATTATGCCCTTTATATATATAAATATCCTAGTAGTATTAGCTACCACGGCAGTCTAGTCACTTGAACGGTCGTATGCCTGACCGCCGCCAAGTTTAAGCCTCTTATACTTTCTGTGTCGGGCTTCGCTGATGCTGGAGTAATGATCTGCATTTGCAATAGGGAAGCTCCCGACTGAAATCTCGGTTTGGCTACGGGAAATCCTGGCTGACATCTTTCGTGGTTATTCTCATTTTCTGTTTGTGAACTACGAGAGAGTCCTTTGTTTCACATCTTTACATGCCACCATTCATGATTATCTATTAACCACATTCGACGTCATATGGACTATTATATTGAAAGGGCGTCGTTAAAGACAGATCATGCTGTAGCTCAGGTGGTTAGTCGTCGGTTTCCCACTATGGCGGATTATCTCAGAGTACTTTGGTTTCCCTTGTCAATTCACATTTCACTAATTGCTCCACATTTTCTTATTATTATCCTACCATCAAAGCTATATAATTTCGTTAATGACAGCTTCATTAAATAATCAGGTAGAGAATTATGAATCAAGTTTCTATTTCATTGGACGCTGTATATGCTCTGCAGTTGAAGCAGCATGGTCAGATAGCTTCAGAATCGATCAGTTAATCTACGCCTTTTCTCCAAAATTTTCTCTTTCTTTCAGACTTTTCAGCCATGGATTTATTGTTTCTCCCTTAGTGCAGTATGCCTGATCATTTCGTTATGGTTTTATTCGATTACAAAACACAGTACGAACCGTAAAGTTCGATTTGTATAAATTTATCTAACTCCGTGCTAATTCATCTCTCTTAGCTCTCTGTAAATTCTCCTCAGCACATTCAAGACATTCTTATGTTCTGAATTTAAATAGAGAATGTTAGGTAGAAGTAATAGTGTGTCATTTTTTTCAGACTTATGGGTAACCTGCCCAATACGTACGCTTACTCCAAGAACCTGACTGAGCAGCTGGTGACCAACTACAGTTCCAAGTTCCCCATTGCCATCGCCAGACCGTCAATAGGTAAAAGGACACTGTTATCATTTGTGAGTAGGGCTGAAGCCACAAGAATGGGAAGTTGCCATTCAAGAACACATGCTTTCCAAACGAGTTCTTCATGATTTTACATATAATAGTGTCCCAGATGCCCATTTACTAAAGACAGAAACCCGTTAAGAGTCACACTGAAACTGCAAATAACTAAATAAGATAGAGCATAGTCCTTCTTGAGAAACTAATATTTGCTTAGCTTGTCTGAATGTTACGAAATGTTTTCACACAGTCTGGAGCCATACATTATATTCACTGCATGTTGTATATATTTTAATGTTTACTCTTTAGATAGCAGTCGAGAAGTCCAAATGAACAGGGTGCTGAGGAGAATATTTGGTCTAAAGAGGGAGGAAGTGATAAGAGACTGAAGAAAATTGCGTAATTAGAAGCTACATATTTTTTTATTGCTAGTGGGGTGGGCCTAAGTCCCTTGTACTGCGGCCACTTCTGGCCTATTGTACCAGCCCCAGATGATAGATGAGGGTGATTGTGGAGCAATTGGTGGAATGAAGATTGGCAGGGGAAATCGATGTACTCGGAGAAAACCTGCCCCAGCGCCACTTTGTCCACCAAAAATCCCACTTGACCAGACCCGGGCCGCCACAATGGGACGCCAGCGACTAACCGCTTGAGCTATGGCGCAGCCTTAGAAGCTACATAACTTGTACTCCTCGCCAAATATTAGTTGAATGACAGAGTAAAAGAGGATGAGATGAGCAGGGTGTGTAGCACACGCGGGAGAGGAGTGCTTACAGCGTTTCAATAGAAAAATCTTGTGGTCGCGCCTTCAAGAAAAGGGAAATAAGAAAATAAAACTGGCTAACCTTGAAGCGCCATCGCAATTTGACTGTACCCTGATAAGATGTCGAATGTATTTAACGATGTTTTTCAAACTCGTGGCTTACATGTGACATCATACGATAAGATGACAATGGATTATGGATTTTAGCTATTCAACCTCGACGTTCGGTCCTTTCTTGTGTTCAGAGTTCACTATTATCTATGGGAGAAGGTATGCATATGACCCCATTCATCTCCATGTTTAATGCGTGTGAATACTGTTTTGGATTCATTGGTGCTGCGTAGGATACTTGGATCCTAATTCAAACGGTAGTGAGAATGGCACAGAGTGAAAAAAGACAATGAAGCTAACTCCAATTCTTCAAACCCCTTGCTTACTGGACCGACTCTGTGGTCTAGTGGTCAGAGTCCCTAGCTACAGATCCAGAGGGCCCGGGTTTGATACCGGGCGCTACCAGATTTTCTGAGAAGTAGTGGTTCTGGAACGGGGTTCACTCAGCCTCGTGAGGATAATTGAGGAGCTATTTCAAGGAAGCAGTGGTTCCGGTCTAGAAAATCGAGATTAATGGCCGTGAGGATCCGTTACGCTGACCACATGCTACCCTCTATCCGCAAAGTTGGCACGAACTTCGGCGACAAGCTGCCGTCGCTCGGTCGGTATAGTTCGCTTGCGGACTATAGACCACGGAGTTTTTTTTTGTAGTCGTTTAGGCGTAATGTGAGCAAAAATTTTGCAATTTTATTGACTTTAGTATTAAGAAAGTAGCAGAACGTTTTGCATAGCGGGTCACAATTCACCTTTAATGAAGATGCGAGAGTTAAGAAAGAAGAGGCTTATGTTGCTCATTCTGACTCTTAGAGGTATAGAACATGCACACAGGCAGAATGTTTAGGGGCATAACCCGCGAATTTAACAAAACAACTACTGGAAACTGATTGTTTCTTGTGACACCCTCTATCCGCAAGAGTTGGTACTAACTTCGCCGACAAGCGACGGTCGCTCGGTCGGTATAGTTCGCTTGCGGATTACAGGTCGCGGAGTTAGATCTTGTTGTTCTTTATTACAGTGACGGGTACGTGGAAGGCTCCAGTTTCCGGGTGGGTAGAAAACTTGAACGGACCGACCGGGCTCCTTGTGGGAGCGGGTAAGGGGGTCATCCGTTCGATGCACTGCCGGGCCGAGTACAACGCAGACATAATGCCGTGTGACATAGCCATCAACGCCATCATCATTCTCGCTTGGAAGGTAGCGAATCTCAGGTAGGCTTCCTAAATAGTCTGTATTGCACCTGGATCTTCCAAGTGTGAGAAGTAAAGGTATGTCAAGTAAGATCTAAAAGTTTGTGCCGACGGTACATTAGTACAAGTATTATGTTTCTAACATTATCCATCGTCTTATCTCTATCTAGAAACCGTCATGTTTATTTTTCAAAACAACGTTTCGGAGACTAGTCCCTAGCTAGTCCCTATCTCCGGACCGGACAGAATTCAGTCTCCGAAACGTTGTGTTTTGAAAAATAAACAGAACAGTTTCTAGATAGAGATAAGACGATGGATAATGTCCGGAAACATAATAATTGCAAAGGTATAGCACCACGCCATGAGGACGTATGAGAGAGTGGAAGTTTTGCTCCACTCTTGGCCTTGGCACTAGATGGAGGTGACTGGTTATTTCCACGCTCTAGCCACTTTAACTCTGAGGAAAGAGCCTCTGGTTCCCATTGGATAGGAGGCTGGGTGAGCCCAAGATCCGGTATGGACGCTGAGGATAAGAGACAAATATCTTGTCACTGTAGAAAATTAAACCCCGTAGCCCGTCGCTATACGGATTTAACAATTGCAATAGTACTGATATGACAGCAACACTGCAATGATTAGCCTGTTCAGGGATCTTGCTTTCCTCGGTGTCTCCAGTCGGATGCAGGGAAAGAGGCCAGGATGATTATATCGTTCCCAAATTTTAATTTACCACTCATAATGATATTCCCATCTCATTAGCTGTAATATGTATACGCTAACTTTCCCAGTTGAAACAGCATCGTGAAATAACCATGCAACAAGCAATAATTGTCAAAGTAATAATGAAGACGGTGAATTGTGACACATTTTGTCAGCATTTTATTCCGCTGTTATCACGAAAGAAACGTGATTTCAACATGTCATTTATTGAGGTACATTATACACTTTATTATGCACTTCGAAAGACACCTGTGGAAAGTCATTGTTGTTCTTGGAAAGACTCTGACTGACTTCTTTGCACTGTCACTTTTTTCCCCCCCAAAAATCTTCAGGGAAATTTCAGTTGTGAAATTTTTTCATCTCGATCACCTTGAGACAACTCTCTGGACGTCATCCACTGTGTAATTAATTATAGCTGTTGCTCCAAGCTGATGGGCCATCCTAGGGAATCACTAACAGCCATGCGTCACCAAACGTAATTTCCACCGCTGAGGCACAACGGCTCGAAACCAGAAGAGGGAAATGCAGATTCCATAGGAAATAAAATAATTTCCTTTGCGTTTCACAGGTTCGGAAAGGCACACGAATAATTCCTACAATACTATTATAACGAAGTTAAGTAAACAAATATTCACTTCTGTGATAGAAGACCTTATTTTGTGGGGGGAGTTTACTATTGCTCATCTGATCAAGAAATTCCCTGCTTTTACGAAATGTCTTCAGTTTTATTAATGTACCCACTACAAGCCGGAAGGTGGCGGGTTCAAGTCCCGATGAGGTCATTGGATTTTTTTTTCAATTTACCTAATCCTTCTAGCCGCACTATGGCCCTGGGGTCGACTCAGCCTCTAGCAGAAATGAGTACCAGGAATTAATTAAATAATTTTCCTGTGGAGTAAAGCGCGGCCGGTGCGTAAGGCTGACAAACTTACCGCCATCTTTGAGCCGACTGTTTAGATAATGTGAGACCCTGAACATCTCACAACCCTATGGGCCTTCACGGCCTGTTACAGGGATAGGTTTACTTTTTTACTTCACCCACAAAAATCCACTTCAAATACTCCGAGGTAACATTTGTCAAAATATATTTGATAATTGATTACAAGGTTACATACTGTCAAATAAAATTTTTCTTCTTCATTCGTGTAGCACGCAACGGATAAATGAGAATTACGTTTAAATTTTTTGTAAAAACTGAAGAGCTCAGGTGATAAGAACTGTTCTTTGAATTACCTCTGGAGAGCTTTGTTAGTGTCGGTGCTGAACCTTCAGTCTGATTTCCAAAGACCGTTACTTTGCAAAAGTATGCATCAGGTAGGAATCTTCAGCTTAAATCAAACAACTGATCAGTCCCGTCAGTCTGAGAATGTGTACAGTCCGAAAATGCCGATCACAATGGCCGGACTAGCTAATGCATGAACTCTCTTTTTTTTATTGCTAGTGGATTGGGACTAAGTCCCTTTTACTGCGGCCACTTCTGGCCTATTTTACCAATGAACTGCCTTAACTGCCGTCTTAGCCCGTCCAACACTGATGTCGTGGGTTCGAATCCCACTTGAGGTATGGATATCTGTGTGCGTTTATTCTGCTTTCGTTCTTTCCTGTGGGTTCAGGTAGTGGCCTTGCGACGGGCTGTTACCCAATCCAAGGAGTCCTAACGAATGTGTAATAGATCATGAATCTGGAAAGCGGCCAAGGCCCAACAAAAGGCTCTAGAGTCTAGATAGATACGAGTATATATCTAGAGTCCGGAAAGGGGTTCAAATAAATTAATATAGAATGAACAAGCAGAAGAAATAGAGTTTCATCATAATTTAAAATTACACTAGGTGTAAGCTGATTGGGACATATGGCAGATTCCGGTCTATACTGTGATACAAATGTATTGGTTGAACAGAGACCTATCTTAGAGAAACAGATGGAAGCCCTATTTGACGCTAGTAAGGAGACTGGTGCCCACCATGGCGGCCCGGGTTTGGTCAAGTGGAATTTGTGGTGGACAAAGTGGCGCTGGGACAGGTTTTCTCCGAGTACTTCGATTTCCCCTGCCAATCTTCATTCCACCAGATTCTCCATCATCATAATCACCAGGGGTAGGTGCAATAGGCAAATCAGTGGCCGACGTGCCGAGGGGACACAACTGGACTCCACCCCCCACTTTGCGAATAAGGAAAAAAAAAGGAAAAGAAGAACAGTTATATGTTCATGTTTCATCAGCAGAGTGTATGACAAAGTCTTATCTCATAGAGACAGCTAACAAAGCCTTTGAAAACGAAGAAATGTTCAAATATATGGGAACGACACAAACACAAATTTCATTCGAACAAAATTAAGAGAACACGTTGAATTCTGGGAAAGTCTGCTATAACTTCTTGTCTTCCGGTCTATGGATCTTGAAGAGATAGAATGGGATGCTATTGATTAGACTGATCTGGCTCAGGATAGGAACCAATGGTGGGCTCTTGCGAACATGATAACGAACCTTCGGGTTCCATAAAATGCTGAGTTCTTGAGTAGCAGCAAAATTAGCGGCTTCTCAAGAAGGACTCAGTTCCTTGAGTTGTAAGTGGGTGTCTATTAACTAGAAACGTAAAGATTCCAATATGCAAAACTATAATTTACTGTGGCTTTGTATGGCTATGAAATTTGATTTCTCACATTAAGGAAGGAAAACAGATTGAGGGCACTTGGGACCAGGAAGGAGAAAAATATTTGGGCTTAGGTCCGAGAAGGAGGAAACAACAGAAGGCTGGAGAAAAATGATATAATTTTGAGTTATATAATTTGTACTCCTCGCCAAATACTATTAGAATTATCAAGTCACGGAATATAGAATGCTCGGGAAAGAGGAGAAGTTCATATAGATTTTTGGTGGGAACACAGATGTGTCATCTTCACTTCTGAAAATATTACAGATTTCCCGGGCTTCTCTCTCTCGTACCTTTGATAAGTGTTCCATGAAAGTGAAGACGTTAGAATGGTTGGAAATTATAGCTTGCGACAGAGGCCGCTGAACTTTTATTTCCTGAATTAATGTCGAATGATATACAATTATTTGCTTTTATTTAAAACACATAAAGTTTCGGAGACCGGATTCTATCTCTGCCTGAGATACGGAGCTCTATCAACTAAGCCCAACTGAGTAGGTCTCACCTGAAGACGGAGACCTAATCCAGCCTCAGAAACGTTGTGTGTTTTACATAAAAACAGGACGATGGATAATATCCAGAAACACAATAATTTTATTAATATACCATAGTCATAAACTTTTAGACCGAATTATATAATTTGGAAAAAATAATTTGGTGGCTTTGACAGCAACGGGGCTTAACATTGATGAATAGTTGTCAAGAGTTCTTTATGAGAAACACGCAATGGCAGCTTGGAACTTCGGAATCAGCTCAGCAATTACTTGAAAATAGAAGAAAACGAAAAACCTTGTGATGACATAAATTAGGAGAGAGGAAGAAAGTGTAGTAAAAGAGTGGGTGAAAGTGAAAAGTCACGGGAAAAGTGAGATATAATTTATTGTGGAGAGAGAGATCAACTGTTTGGAGGTATTCGCAACGGCACGGACCAGATAGAAAATCACTGCCACGAATACCAAATATCGTTACTGAACGCATCATAAGCCAGTCCCTTACACCTCCCACCGACACAACTTGTGTACTTAGGATATACCGTAACGATATCCTCACATCATATTCTAGGTCTTCGGTGTCGCCATTTTGTAAGTATCCTCTCAAAATTCTTCATGCATTACTCGTTACAAAGATTTAATAACAGTAAGTTCAGAGTATGTTTATAGGAAAATTAAATTTTTCTTTGGAAGACCCCTATTTCACAGTAACAGTGAATATCCTTTATTTTCAGACTAAACAAACCGCTAGTCTGCAATATCACGGAGTCTGGAGACAACCCCCTGACCTGGAGACACATTCTGGACACTGGGAGGAAGCACCTGTATGAGAACCCGCTGAGCGATGCCATCTGGTTTCCTGATGGAAGCATCAAGAGTTCGTGGATCATGCACACCCTCTGCGTGATTTTCTTTCACTTTCTCCCTGCTTATTTAATCGATATCCTCGTCACCCTCTGTGGAAAGAAGCCCTTGTAAGTAATGTCAGTTCGACAGCAGATGAATGATCTCTATGGGTTCTGGAGGAATATTGCAGTTGTAGTCATGCCTCGTGACTGAGAGCTTCCAGAATTCAATTTCGGCCCAAAGTCTGGACATTCTTCATGGTTTCCCTCAGCTGTTACAGATAGATTGCTGATCGTACATTCAAAATAACCTAAGAACATTACCTTTAACATCATTTCAAATCCATCCCTTACAACCACAATAATTTGACGTCACACAGCACATATAGTTACAAAATGTCATTAAATGGCCTAAGAACCAACAACCTGCTCTACCTACCTACCTACCACTCGGCGCTACAGGCCTGGGTGAGCCTTGGCCTCCTCTACAACCAGTCTTAAGGTTGGTTGTTAGGTTTCTGAACAAAATTCTTTTTACTCGTACAGGATGAGGTTGTTAGCCTCAAGACCAACCCCAAAACTGGAGGACCAGGGTATCTCTCTTAGTCTGGACTCTACCCTTTGACCTTTCCGGCATGGGTGACCTTACTGGTACTTAAACTACCGCCGGCATAGCTCTCCAGGTCACAGAGTCACGCAAGCTCCACCACCACGACAAGGTGGAGGTAATCGCCAGCTCATCCATTCAGTTGCCTGTTTCTTCCGGCTGGGTTCAATCCCAGGACAGTCCACATGAAATCTGTGATAGTCAAGGGAGCCCTGATGTTAGGTTCTCTTTGAGTGCTTGAGTTTCTCCCTGTCAGCCACCATTTTGCCAAAGCTCCATCCTTATTCGTCACTGTCCCTGAGATGTACAACAGGTTCGATCGGACAGATGATATTACAACCCATGTTTTCAATTGATATTTCACCTCTTGCTCGACCCTTGGCTGCATTCCGTGTCAGTGAGTTCGCATTAAGCGAATCCTGTGTTGATTTGCCATCACTCTCTAAACTGGCATCAGTTAATCATGTAATCACACACACACACACACNATATATATATATATATATATATTCAGGAGACAGAGAAAATAAAGCAGGCAATTTAAACGTTCATTCAATTCAGTTATTTCTTTCAGAGGTAATATTTAGAAACAAATTCGAGTCATTAACCGAACTACACTCTCAGTTAAATCATTTTATGCAGACACGAAAGAAAATAAGAAACAAACAAACTAGAGGCCTGCTACAGCAGGAAAACTGCAGAGAGAAGAGACTATGAAGAGAAAATTCTCTCACCAAAATGATCCAACACAATTTCAGTGCAATGAATGATCTTCAGGGTATTTGGTGAATTATGGCAATAACTAACCAGACAACAAACAACCCGTCTGGTATTACACTCTGAAGTTGTGCATTTGAAACATAGGCATTATGCTACAAACCAGAAAGTCGCGGTTTCGAGTCCCGATGAAGTGGATTTTTTCAATTGACCTAATCCTTCCAGCTGCACTACGGCCCTGGGGTCGATTCAGCCTCTAACAAAAATGAGTACCAGGAATCTTCCTGGGGGATAAAGGGCGGCCGGCGCGTACGGCTGACAGCCTCACCTCCATATGTGAGCCGATTGTCTAGATCAGTGTTTCTCAACCATTTTAAGCCCAAGGACCAGTAAAATGTCTGAGAAAATTGTATGGACCAATAAGTTATTTAGGCCTATTTTTTAAAAACCTATGTAATATTACCAAAATTTTGGGAGATGCGTCTTTTATAGCCGGAAGAAGTAAGTTTTCCACGATAGATTGAGGTTTCCCTGTTTTGGTTATGCGCAAATTTAAGAGGTAGGATGCTTCCAGTGCCTTGTTATTAATCGAATCCATGACCGAAATTATAGTTTGCCCGTGATTTAATGTCACTTTGCGTCGCTGAGCCGGTCACGGTAGCCGAGCGGTCTAAGGCATGTACTGTCTTCGCTCGTTCGGAAGCCGGGATCGTGGGTTCGAATCCCACTCAGGGCATGGATGTTTGTGTACAGGTAGAGGCCTCGCGAGAAACTGATCACCCACACAAGGAGTCCTACCGTATGTCTAAGATCTAGTAAACCGAAGTGAAACGGAGAGTTTGATGGAGGTAGGCCTAGGCCCAAATGAGGGCTGTAGCGCCAATGAAAAAGAAAAAAACGTCGCTGAGGAAAAAAATCAATTGGCTTATTTTTCACATCGTAATATTTAGTTTCTAAATGACGTCGGAGTTTCGCAGGTTTCATGCACTCATTCGACAACGCTTCATAACACAAAACACATCGAGGTTTCTGTTCACTTTCATCACCACACCAAGCAAATCCGAGTTCTAAATATGAATTGCCACATTTCCTACTGCATTTTTCTTTGAACTGCTTGCTTCTTCGACTTTAATAGTATCACAACTCGCCGTTACAACACGTGAATCACAATTAGGGTTAGCATGATCTGTTTGTTTTGCTAGGATAATTTTTAATTTAATTTACTTTAAATCTGTTTGCGGACCACCTGTCCCATCATCGCGTAACACAGGTTGAGAAACGCTGATCTAGATAACGTGGGGCCCTCAACCTCTCACAATCCTATGGACCTCCATGGCCTGTTACAGGAATATCTTTACTTTCATTTACCTTGTTTTGTATAAATAATAGGTCATTGGGTTGAGATCGAACAATTTAATGTTAGGTCTAGATTCTGTAACGGAAATTAATTAAGATTCTGCAATGGTTTCGCAGCATGGTGAAGATCCAGCGGCGTATTCAAGGAGGTCTCGAAGTGCTGCAGTACTACACGACCAAGGTGTGGGTCTTTAAGAACGATAACTTCAGGGCTTTGCCTCAAACCTTGACGGAAAAAGATAGAGAAACATTTTACACGGATATTAAGATGGTGGACTGGGATGACTACATCAAGAACTTTGTACTGGGTACCAGGCATTACTACCTGAAGGAGGACCCGGCTACACTGCCCAAAGCGAGGAGACACATCAGGAGGTAAGGCAGCTTATACGCGATAGGGTCTTCATATTAGCGAGATCTGAGGTCCTCGCAGCACTGACCATGAGGATTGTTGTCATATGAAATACAAGGACATGTAGCCTGGTAGAAGTCAACCGGCCTGCCAGAGGAACGTACCTTTTCCACCGCCGGCCTTTTCTGCCATGAAGATGTAGGCAGCACAGCCATGTGAAACGCAGGTAAACTTATACCAGGCTACACGGGATCACAAAAAAGAAGAAAGTAACCTTGACACGTATTCGTATGTTCAAGCCTCACGGCACACCAAGGCAGTATTATTTATCATTGAGTTAAGCGTAAGCATAACGAAGGATGAGCATAATATTTCAGTTAATAAATTGGATTTAAGTACTGGCTTTTAAAGGATTAAATGTATTTCAAATTCGCCTCTGTGGTCTAGTGGCCAGAGTACCTGGCTACAGAACCAGAGGTCCCGGGTTAGATTCCAGTAGTGTGTTTGGAACGGGGTCCACTCAGCCTCGAGAGGACAGCTGAGGAGCTATTTCAAGGAAATAGCGGCTCCGGTCTAGAAAACTGAAATTAACGGCCGTGGGGATTCGTTGCGCTGACCACGCGACACCCTCTATCCGCTAAAGTTGGCACTAACTTTGCTGACAAGCGGGGGTCGCTCGGTCGGTATAGTTCGCTTGCGGACTAAAACCACGGACTTTGTTTTTTACTTGTATATTACCAAACAAACTGGACATTAATTAGTTTTTGTGCCCATGAAAACAATTTCCCGGAAAGTCGGAACATGTAGGGAGTGATATAATAAACTATAAACAATAAAGTTTACTACAATATATCCCTCTTACGTAGTTGCATATGGCGATACTAATGTTATCAATATGGAATAAAATGCAATGGAAATAGACCTCTTTTATTGCTAGTGGGGTGGGACTATCTAAGGCATGCACTGTCTTCGCTCGCTCGGAAGCCGGGATCGTGGGTTCGAATCCCACTCAGGGCTTGGATGTTTGTGTGCTTTTTTCTGTGTTTGGCTACAGGTAGAGGCCTTGCGACGAGCTGATCACCCGCGCAAGGAGTCCTACCGTATGTGTAAGATCTAGAAAAACCGAAGTGAACGGAGTTCATGGAGGTAGGCTTAGGCCCACATGGGCTGTAGTGCCAAGGGGGGGGGAACTAAGTCCCTTGTACTGCGGCCACTTCTGGCCTATTGTACCAGCCCCAGATGATAGGTGAGGGTGGTTGTGGAGCAATTGGTGGAATGAAGATTGGCAGGGGAAACCGAAGTACTAGGAGAAAACCTGCCCCAGCGCCACTTTGTCCATCACAAATTGCACTTGACCAGACCCGGGATCGAACCCGTGCCGTCGCGGTGGGAAGCCAGCGACTAACCGCTTGAGCTACGGCGCGACTAACTTTTAGGATTAAGATAGTTAATTTGTCATAAAGACTAGAGTATCAGAAATGCCCTTGATATTAGGGGAGAAGCCATTACTTTGGTCTGTTCAACAGTGATGTAAGAGTACTGCTCACATCTATGCATCTTAGAAGATAAAGCCAGTAAATGTCTGTTACTGAACGTAGTTGTGCAATGAGTACTGAGCTATCGTAATTTGTTTCCTAACCTATTTCCTGTGTCTCCCCCCCCAACCCGTTATATGCTGAGAATGCATCACAAAAATAAACCAGCATCTCTTCTTTCCACATTGGACACTTCTCGACATTTGAATTGTCGAACCATAGCTTACATGCTGCCAAATAAGCTCTACATTTTATTCACAGTTGTGAAGTAAACTCATTTCCTTTCTGAAAGCGCGCTATCAATTACTACTCCGTATTTTAAAATGCCTGGATTCATATGCTAATCAGGAAATCAATCAATTATTCTGACTGAGGGTTTTCGTGGCTTTCCTTCTTCTCTTCGCAAGACATAATCGTAACATGAAAACAAACAATAGACCTTTTGAACACCTAGCATAATTTCACATATTTGGGGACGACAGTAACAAATTAAAATTGGTTTCATGAGCAGATTAATCTCGAGAGCTGTTGCTACCAGTTCAGAACCTCCTGACTTCCCCTACTCTGTTTAAAACATAAGAATTAAAGAAATATAGAAGAGTATAATCGCTTCTGTAGTTTTGAGTGAACGCGAAACTTGGCCGCTGATGTTAAGGGAAGAAGATGGAAGGATGCAATTTTAGAACAGGTTGTTGAGGAGAATATTTGAACCAAAGGAGATGAAATAGCAGGAGAATGTAAAATAACTGCGTAATAAGAAGTGTAGTAACTTTTACTGTACGGAACTGCACTCTATTGTGCTGTACCTCAGACTAGGCTGGACTGTTCCTTCGAAAATCCATTGCAATTCCCCATTCACAAACGCTTTTATTTTCGATTATATATAACATATTACTTATTTACTTACTTACTTACTCATGGAGCTGAGTCCTTCTGGAGGAGCCGCCAATTCTGCAGCTACTCAAGAATTTCCCAGTAGTTCATGGAACCCGAAGGTTCATCACCGTGTTCACAAGAGCCCTCCACGGGTCCCTATCCTGAGCCAGATCAATCCAATCCAAAACATCTCGTCCTATCTCTCTAAGATCTATTTTAATATAGTCCACCCACCTACGCCTTGGTCTTCCTTGTGGTCTCTTTCCTTCTGGCTTTCCCACCAATATCCTACACGCATTCCTCGTCACCCCCATTCGTGCTACATGCCCTGCCCACCTCATCCTCTTTGACTTGATCATTCTAATTATACTTGGAAAAGAGTACAAGTTACGAAGATCCTCATTGTGCAGTTTTCTCCAACCTCCTGTCAGTTCATCTCTCTTCGGTCCAAATGTTCTCATCAACACCCTCAGTTTATGTTCCTCCTTTAATGTCAGAGACCAAGTTTTACACCCATACAGAACCACAGGTAAGATTATAGTTTTGTATATTCAAATTTTTATGTTTTTGGACAGCAGACGCGAAGACAAAAGGTTCTGGACTGAATGGTAGCAAGCATTTATATATAACATATGCAGTTCAAAAGGCGGGTCAGTAGTCCAGCAATCACTCAATTATGCCCTTTGCTTGTGTTGCAGATTGTACTGGGTGGATCGAACTGTTAGTGTCCTTTTCTATTTGCTGATCATATGGATGTTGCTACAATGGTCTGATGAGATCATTGCATGGGGCCATCTTACGTTACGTTCCATGCCTCAGATGTTCAGCATGGTACCTATCCTCCGCGCCCTGCCAGAGGCGATGGGTACCGATCCTGGGACAATATACTGAACGGAGCCAAGCCTTGTGTCACTGTGGTAGAGTTACATAAAACGAAGAAAAACGCAACGGCAAGACGTCGTCTGCATTAGACCATAGAATAGGCACCTATAGTACGCATAGTTCGTTACAATACAATTAACTTGTCACACTCAGTTCTGCATTCATTAATGCTGACTTCTACTGCGTACTGAGCGGACACATAAACAATGGGTTTGAGTAAGCAATGGACAATTCCATTTCAGTGCCTTGCAAGCCATAGAGTTACTGGTGCATTGGATTGGACATTCCCATGGCAGTGACTATGAAGAGCACGGTCTTTGGGTTATAACGCTGTGTAGTTCGGAGATATCCCGAGGTTTCAGAGGAATATGTACCTCTATCTTTGCAGCCGAAAGCAATCAGCCAAGAATACAACAGAAGGAGATGGAAAGCTGTGGTCAATTTGCTGCTTGCTACGTTGGTTTCTTGCTTGCCTTAATCTTCAATCCTAAAAATGGATGTATTCTTCCGAAATGTCTGACTCTACGAAATATACTTAATTGCAAACATACAGAACAGCACTAGCCTTATATTCTACTACTATGAGGCAATTCAAATGAAATTTCGTTTATCATTTCAATTGCATAGTACAGAGCAGGATACCTAGGCCGGAAAACTGCAATATATTTTTCTCTTACGTGTGATAGATATATTTTTATGAATAAATAATACTATAGATGTGGCAAGTGTTCCAGCGTAAACGTAATATTTGTCATACTTCGTGACATACGAGGTTATGATCAGATTTACGTCCTCATAATGCTGAAATTGTTTCGTGTACAAGAAGCAAAAGGAAATAGTTACAATATATTCGTGCAGAAGGCACCATCTGACCACAAGTAGAGAAGCGCATATCAATGAAAAAATTTACATTTAATCCCACAATTTTCTCTGCTCAGAAATTGCCAATATATCTAAAAGTTTGAAATAAGAACATTGCTCATAATTTCATGTCGTTATAAACAACTAAAATAATCTGAGATGCTAAACGATTGTTGGCATTTGTTAGATGCTTAGTTGTTTCGATTGTTCTGATTATAATTCAGAAATGACTCATACTTCAGTAACAAGTAATAGCAGCTCAGTAATTTACAGTATGCTCTAGAAATTATGCAATGGTATTTTTCTCAATTCAAACAACTGCTGCTGTAGGTAAGCAAATATTATAAATATTTCATTGAAAGAATATCGTAAATTTTTATTCTAAGTAATCGATAAATAAAAAGGTATATACAACTCAGATTAAATTAATGGTCGTCAATGAACAAAAGAATTCGATCCACTGTTCAATGTTCAATAAGATTTTGTTACATTTTAATTGCACATTTCACAGTATACTTCTTCATGAACACAAACTCTACTTGACTGGGGGGGGGGGCATTTGCCCCACTCAGATGTTTGGAATATGAAGAAAGATATCTCATATGTCACTCTAAGTCATAAATTGTTGTTTAGAGTAGTTACTTTTCAGAACATTCCCCTCCACCAAATGAAATAGTGCGTAACGAGGACCATAAACGAATGCCATATTTTGAACAGTAAGAAGAAGAATTAACCTACACGTAAATATATTGGTTGGATTATTCACTCTCTACCTCCTTTTGTTTGAGGCTCCTTATGTGAATACAAATATCTGAGATATTAAACACATAAAAAGGACTTCAAATGTGATTTCGGAACTTATAATTACTAATGAATTAATTACTAATTAAGTCAAGAAAACAATATTATAAATTCAGAAAGTGTGGTGTTTATTATATGCCAGTAATTTTATAAGGCGATAAATTCAAGATAATAACATATTTTTGTAATTCTTGACAATTTTAAAATGATTAAAATTCGAAGTATTTTATTAATTATAATGTAATCACATTCTTACGTGAATATAATTTATGTAATTCTGGACAACTCCAGTGCGCAGATGGATATGCCGGTGAATGCGCAGAGGCCTATTGCGTAAATATCAACTGGAAATCTAACCGAACTCAACCAATCTCTGGGGCTCTGGAGGATATGACGGAATGAGAGGGTGGATGAGCAAGATGGTGCGCAGTAGTGTACTGCACAAACCGGATCTTGCGACCTAACCTCACCTAACGCAACCTAAAGGAAACCAACCCAAAACAAACCTAACCAAACCCATCCCACGAAGTCAGCCCGTGAACCAAGGTGGATGTAGAAGATAATGCATAGTGGTGAATTGCACAAACCTGATCTGGCATAACCAAGCCTAACTTAATTTAAGTTATCCAACGGAGCCCTATATAATTTGCCCCAGCAGTTCTCTGGTATGCAAATGGATGTTGAGTTGTATGCGCAACTTAGTGCGCAGTTAGAAGCAGAATTTCTTGGTATTTAGGTTGATGAGTTAACTGTGCATAACACTACGCAAGCTAATCCAATCCAACATGGCTGTCTTAAACACGCAGGAGAATATACAGAATGCGTAAGCAACTGGAACTAGCAATCAATATCTTCTCTTGCATATCAGAACCCGACATAAGATTCTGTCTTTACCTGACGAAATTGGCAATGATATATTTTTGAAATTCTGAAAATTTATCAAAACATAGATGCTAAATGGCCTCAGATATTTTACATAGATTCGGAATATAAGGTAACGAAAATTTGGTTTATCTTCCATTTAGCTTATGACTGATGATGTGAAGTAAACTAAAATATCTCAGAGAAAAATGCACATTTTATAAAAATATATCCAACTTCTGGGAACTATCCTAAAAGTATAAGGAATTCATTGTAATTAGGATTTCATAACCTTAAGAATCGTCGAATAAAACACAAATATGAGTAGCTTTCCAACTTAAAATACTGAACTATTTCGTAAAATCGAGAAATTAACTTTCCGAAGTTGCAAGAAATTTGAACAATTCAAAAGATATATGAAGGTGACCATTTTCAAAGTACTCGTAATTGCTTGCTCTTCCAAAGCGCAAGTGAATGTGATGATAACGTTAATAATGTAAGATTTGAGGTTTTCACGGCGATGACTATGAAGAAAGCAGTCTTCTGGGATGTGGCACCATGTAGATGTGGTCGGTTAACACCATATCTACATAGTGCCACATCCCAGAAGACTGCTTTCTTCAACGTTAATAATGTCTGCGTAAATTTTCAATATCCAAGCGTCGAAGTCCGGACCACTGGATCCACTGGTCATTTAAATCTACGTCGTCAAATAGTTGATGTTGCTTCTGTAGACCTAAGTTAATAAAGATATTGCGAGTGGGTAGGAAGTTTTGAAACAGAAAACGCATATAGAATTTTCTATGGAGAAACTTCCTGGAAAATCATCGTTTGGAAGACCGATACGGAAATGGGAATGTTATACTGTGAAATATATATAAAAACCTTTCACTAATGTAAAACCGATTCAACTGTCTGCCTACGGAACCCATTTTCACACCAATAAATTAGCGGGGTTGAAGCTTCTGGTTTCAATACCCAAAAAGTTCTAAAGTTTTCAAATATTTCCTAGAAAATTCCACTTTACCTCTCGTGTGCACGGTTATTTTTCCCCAAGTGTGGAGTCACGTGATCAGTACGTAGGTGTCAAGTATTCTGGTATTACTTCGCCTTGTGCTGAAGAGTTCTTTCCTTATTTACCTACGTCACTGATTATGAAGCAACCTCGTCAGCAGAGAACATGGAGTATATTACAGTAATGCTACCTGTTTGGCGAAGGGACGTTTGTAAATGATCCTGTGTAAAACGAATTTCTAATATAAGACTTTTCATGCTTAAGTCTGAAGACAAAATATCAGAGTATTACATATATTGAGCAAATGTAAATTAACAGGAATCTAACAGCGACTTTTCTTCTCTAATATCACGCACTCTGTGGTCACTTAGGCACTATAAGAGCAGCTCTTCCTGACAACCAGAATCAAGAACGGTAACTTCGTTCACAGAATAAACTGTTCTTTAGAATAGCTATATTTTTGCGACGAATAAGATATGCCTCCAAATGTCCCATCCTATTTTGACTCGTGTGTTAGCCACTTGTCAGTGGACGTCAACGAACTCAGAGAAAAGAATAGTTTACACTTGTTACCTCCTCAACTCACACAACACTTGCTTAACAGCCCGTGGATGTTTATATTTTTTTGGCCAATGAAGGCAAAGCGTGGGGAGTCATGGATATTCCTCCATCTAAATGGAAAGAAGTCAGCCAGATGAAACTTCATTTTTGTGATGTTTTCCGTGGATGTATTTCAACGAAGAATGTTGCTCGTGGATTTCGAAGTAAAGAATTGGTCCTTTTGAATATGAATGCCCTACCAAATGTTGTTAGTTGATCTAGTGCACTCCGTTATGATACATAAAGGGAGTTTTATCGAAAAGATATGCTCCCGCTTACGTCTATGTAATATTGTAATACCCATATTTGATGTATTCTAGACTCGGATCGGTGACCGCGGTCTCACATGCTGTTGAGGAGGAGATGGTGAAGTGACGGTAACACAGCAATCACTCGGCGCAAAAGAACTAGAAAGGTCTAGACAATGTTGTCCGCCGGACCTGTAGATGATCGTTGGCAGATGACAGACCTGGGTTTACTGTGTAAGCGTGTCATTCCTAGCACCACGGAATTTGCCAAGGACTTCAGCGGTGCCGAAAAACTGGATTAAGATTAGCTCTTTCTAAGGGGACAAACTGAGTAGGTGTCTTCCTCCCTCACCTGTGGGCGTAAACAGATCCAGATTCTGAAGCATCGTGTTTTCTCATTTCTAGTATAACTGGCGATGGAAAAAGTCCCTCAAAACAGTAATTCTGTGCAATATACACCGTCGTCAGAACCCTTTAGAATCTATGCGAATTAGAATTGATAGAATGGTATATATAGGGGCATATCTGCGGTACGTGCTTTGTTTACATCCTATAAGTTGATATAGACAAGTTATTTTAGTTATTGCGCTCTTCTGCTTGAATGTCTGTCTTCAAGTTTCTCTACGTACGTTGTCAGAAATCCAACGCGCTTCTCTTCTTGCATTCTGCCAATATAACAAATCACGTTCTCTATGTACTCCAAAATTCTGGGCAATTGTTCACGTAAAGTGCCTCTTCATATATATTTTTTTTTGCAATCCGCGTTATAAATATTGCATCGCGAGATGTGATTCAGCTTTTATCTTTGGTCTTTATTACTGACCTTTCGCTGCCATGTGGAAACGTTTGTGGGAGTTTGACGTGTTATAAAATCTCATCTCTTGCACTCCGCGAACTTCTGGCAGTTCAGATAAATGGTAGACGTGTAATTCATGGATATGATGACAGTCATTATTTTGCGATATAATTATAGAACAATAATAATAGGCCTATTCCAAGTAGAAGCCCCTCCCCCCAAAAGGAACAAGACTTTAAAGCACAGACTGTACTCCTAAAAGGCAGGCTTGATGAAGGAATTCTCGGTGATTTTCAAGCTACTGCGAAGAAACGAAAATGTAGCTAATGCGAGAAAATATGATGATATTCTCTATTTCCGGAGGTGTCTTTAGATAAACCCAGTAATTAAGACTATGACGAAGTCATCCTTCCTAATAAAGAGACATAAAATTGATATATAGTTATTTACAGTTAGGTGATGCCCAGAATTCACTGTTATGTACGCAATAAAGCTGCTGTACACAAAATAAAATTCTATTTCTGAGAACTACTTCTCACTGTACATTTTTTCTTCTTTCGAATTGTCCCCTTAGCATTATAGCACGTACATATACTGAGACATCATTATAGATTAAAGAAAATAACCCGAAAGCAGCACAAATACCTTAACTTGTTATAAACACATATAAATCCAAGATTTCCCATTCTTCTCAGCCTCACTTTATACAGAGGTGAGTTTAACATGAAACAGTTCTACCAAAACAGAGAGGGGGGAGGGACGGAGGGAAAGGAGCGTGCGAGAAGCTCTACTAGCTTGTACCGCACGTGAGCCTCAAACGAGGTCATCTGAAGGTACTGGAAATAAAGAAGCTTGAAATTTAAGGAACACCACACGCCAAGATTACAGCCGTCAGTGGACTATGACGTGAACAGCAGCCGTTGCTGAGCAGTGGGCGGATCACACGTCACATATTGGTTACTGATAAACAGGATAATATCAGTAGGTGCAGTAGTAATAATAATGAGAAGGGTAATATCTCATGAATTGCTATTTGTAATAAACAATTAATTCGATAATATTATATTTCAGTACCCAACTGCACTGGTTAATGATTTAATTTCCAGCGGCAGTCCCCAAGTGCGCCGGTGACAGTGGCCGCGCGGTCTAAGGCATGAACCGTCTTTGCCCGCTCGAGCACTGGGATCTTGGGTTCGAATCCACTCGAGGCATGGATGCCTGTGTGCGTTTATTCTGTTTGTGTTGTTCTGCGTGTAGGTAGCGGTCTTGCGAGGGCTGATCGCCCGTCCAAGGAGTCCTACCGACTGTGTACTGATTAACAAATTGAAAAATCGGCCAAGGTTCACAAGAAATATAGAGCCATAGACAGACAGACATAGATAGATAGATAGATAGATAGATAGATAGCTAGACAGACAGACAGAGAAACAGGCAGGCAGGCAGGCAGATTGATAGTCTCGAAGTGCAACCTCTTGCCGTGCTCGTAGACTTGTCGGTTTTTATAAATGTTACTTCTACGACTGGTTTCGACCTTATAAGGTTATAATTAGGTAAATAATTTTACCTCACTTTTGCACTGGATTGCTTTTTATATTTCACTGATGTAAACCTTTGTCAAAACTAGAAAAAGCAGTACAGTGCAGCAGTTACATAAATGTATCGACATGATGAAGACCTTATACGGTGTAAACATGCCATAGAAATAACACCTAG